CAAATGATTTGCTTTGCAGCAGAACTTTTGGGTTCAATTGTGGTCACAAGGCGAAGACTATCTGTTCTTCCTTAGGAGTCACTGGCTTAAACTCATCTGACATTAACCAGACTGCAAGGTAGACTAGACAGAAATCACAGAGAAGCTAATTCTACTTTATTGTAAGGTTTCATTAAGAGAATTTTGCAAGTCTGAAAATACATCCCCCTACTTTACAGCACATCCCAAGAAACTGTGGAGGATCCCTTCTGAAATACTTGTCATTCCCACATACCATTATAGCAACCCGGAAACCGAAGTCTGTGTTTTCTAGTCACAGTTTAAGATGGAATGGATTTGAACAATTTTATCCACCATATAATCTGGCTAATCCTCACAGCGGTCCTGGGATTAGATCAGCCTGAGCATAGCTGCAGATATAATATGTATGAAGACACATTGATGTCAGAATATTCATGAACTGGCAGAGACATGGGTAACAAGGTCAACCAATGGGTGCTAAATTGGGGGCTGAGACTGGAAGGCGTCGGCGTGGCTTTGTGCTCTCACCTCTGAAACTGAAACTAATCTCTGAGCTCTGAAGCTGCTGCTTGTGTTTTGATTGTAACTTTACTGCATTGGTATTTTAAGTTTTACATTGTTTTATTATTTATATAAAGAAGTTAATGAATCCTGCTGAATCGGTCATCTGTGTGTGCTTTCTGGATTTGAATTTCTGCTGCAGACTCTTAACAATTGACACGTTGCTTTCCTTAGACTTCCTCAGATGGTGCTCCGAGCATCTGTCCTGGTATTTCATTTCCCCAGTAAACCAGGGAGTACTCCAAGATTGGTTCACATGCAGAATTTGCATAGGGATGATACAGTCCTTGTCCTTGATTCCATTGCAGGCATTGCCTAGAACCTTGGCCAAATCACCTAGGAAAAATTCCAAGCTCTTTTTTGGGGAAGCCCTTTAGGTCACTTGGGGCAGGCTGCTCAAACAGCACTGCTCTCCCTATGACATCGGTAAAACAAAAGGCAACCAGAAAATGATCTGCCCATAACAATGGACTCTTCTCAATATTGTCTACTGCTAGAGGACTTCTTAACTGCTCTCAGACTAAAACCATATCCAAGGTGCAGCTACTGGTATGCACTGGGCCATCGGTTACTTGAAAGAAGTCCACGGTTGCCATGGATGCCACAATCTCTTTGCTTGGCCTGGACTCAACAATACCAGGCAGACTGAAATTTTGGAAGCACCAACCTCCTTGGGGACTGTATTGCCAACCCAATTTACGGACCCAGTAAAATTGAAGGGAAGTTAAGCATGGAATGAATATGTAGTGCAATTATGTTATTGATAATGAACATTTTCCAAACAATTGTTTCACAGATCATTTGAATGAATGAATGACCCTATGAAACATAAATAATAAGAAAGAATTTTCTATATCTTCTTATGCTGTAGGAGATTATTGAATCTGATTAATTGCAGTGTGTGGCTGTCCACTCGCTGTCAGTGACTCTGGACAGCTTACAAAAAGAAAAACCCACTATGCAAACAAGAAAAAATAATTCCCCCCCATCCTCTACTAGTGAATATACCCCTTCTTCTTTTTTGCTGCCATAATTGTGTAATTGTTTTATTGTTTGATCATTTGTAAAAGAATTTCTGAATTGAATTGCAAACTGACAGTATTTTAGTACTGAAGTAAAAAATCAAATTATAATTCAACTGCAGTACAGTCATAATGTTTAGTCATTATTTACAAATACAACAGTGTGGCACTCAGTTATGAGCTTCTGTAGCAACCATTATGTGTATGTGTGTATGCGTTGGACCAAAACTTGTTTATATAATTATTTATAGTGTTCATTGGAAATAAGGATTGTAGTAAGGCAATAAAGTTAATAAGAAAGGGTTGAGAAATATTTCTTCAGCACATTGGGAAATACACTTAGGAAATTGTGCAATTTATGTACTATGAGCTCCCTCTACTGGTAAAAATTAATATTCTTTCTGTAACCCTGTACGTAATATGGAAAGAACTTTCAAAGTAAAATAAATTTGAATTAAAGGCTACATTAATTATGTTAACATTGTTTCCCTAGTTATTCAAAATTTCCAGCTTTGAATAGCTTTATATTTTCTACATGTAACAATTCATTAATTACCTGTGAACACGTTAGGAAAACCTTAAGAATAACTACTTTCAATATTCTTGAAAATTGAATTGACTTTATGAAATAATGCTTTCTAGCACTTGGATTTTGAAAATGAATGTTGGAATACACTGAATTTTATTTTTAGCCCAGGATGGCAACAGTCCTATGTACTACAAACTTGCATTTATTGAAGGATGGCATCTCTCCAAATTGCATTTGGTAATTAATTTGAATTTCCTTCCATAAACAAGCATCAGTGCTGTCTAAAGCAGGTAAAAATATTAATAGCAATTTGTGGAGCAGGATAAGGAAGTTTGGGCTACTGAGCATTCCCATTATACAATTTCCAGGATTCAGGCTTTTTTGTCCTAGTCCTCTTTAACATATGCAAAAGGGACACAGTGGTTCAGTGGCTGAGATGCTGAGCTTGTTGATCAGAAGGCTGGCAGTTCAGCGGTTCGAATCCCTAGTGCCGTGTAATGGAATAAGTCACTTTTTTCAGGCCTATTTTAACTTCTAATATTCACCAAAAAAAAAAAAAATTGTAAGTCAAAAACTACCTGTATGCAATATTTAGAACTGATCGACTGTTATATATTGAAGATGGCAACCAACTGTTTCTCTGGATGTATTCAGATAGTCTGGATGCTTTGATTTGGATTCCTTCATTGAGCAGCAGGTAACAGTCATTGCCCTGAAAAAGCTCCTTCCAACTATGGTTTTCTAAGAAGATGTTGCACAAGCCCACAACCACTAGATGGCATAGGTACTACAGGAGCCTGAGAGGTTACTAAGGGCCTGGTGGAAATTCAGCAATCTGTTGAACTACACATATTTTACTGTTTCCACATGGTAGCTGCCAGAAGAATCTGATACAGTGTGATATAGAAACAAGATATAACTGGAATAATGAGATTTCTTTCTGGTTTTTTTTAAAGTCCTTTAAATGTCTGGTTTTAACAGTCCTATTGGGCACTGTAAATGCCTCAGGTGCAGTGTGGATATTCCTTTTACGTTCCTGGCTCTTGGCTGTGTTTTTATGGAAAAACATATTGAACTTCAGTTGAGGAATATTTGATAATCCCTCTTAGAACATACTATAACAGCTGGTATTTGTGTTGCAGCAAATCCGTTCTGTGCAGTAGTTAGCAACACCATAAGCTGTATTCTGCTGCAAAATAACAAAGTATTTTTAAACCAGTTGCGCCAAAGGAAGCTTCAGTAAAAGAAAAGTAACTTGTTATGTGTTTTGTGGGAAAAAAAATAATTTTAAGCTTTTTACTGGTAATGATTTCAGCAGGTCATTTACATTTACTGTACTGCATATACACTGCTATATACCAGACAACTCTTGAAAATAATAGATTTGGAAAGTAACTATTAAATATTTTAACCAGAATCAAAATAGTAAATAGTATCTGTTCTTAATACTAGTTATTTTCTAAATCCATGGGAGTTTCATTTGTAAATAAATTTTATTAACTTTGGGGGGGGGGGGGGACCCAATGACAGCTAACAAGCTAATGAACAATCCAGTGAGAAATAATGAACAGTTGATTGGATTCAATTAGCATTTAGATTCCTTAATAACTATAACTTTAGGTCCAAGTTTTAAATTCTGTTTTTTTGGCTTTGCTATGTGCATGTTACATTTATACCAGGAAAAGTGAATTGATGCTTTGCAATGCTTGTACGCTCTGTCCTTGGCCTGATTTCAGGTAACTTTTAAAAACTTAATCTGTAGAGATATTTATACAAGGTTGCATAAATGGAGTTGTGCGTAACAGCTATAATTCAGTGTAGAATTATACATACACAAGCAAACATGCATGACAGCCATAATTCAGTGCAGAATTAAGTACACATAAGAAGACATACTTAATAATCCATAACACGGGACATCTGCCTCTTGAATGTTCTGTATTCCTATTTTTAAAAAGTCTCAAGTTGAAAATGTTTTAACTTCTGTTTTATAAACGGTTGCAAGGTTGCATATGAAATAAGCCTTAACTATTTTAGAAGCTCTTAGAAAAGAGTATTCAGATGCTGAAACTAATTATTTAGGGAAACTCCAAATTACATATTTGCACTTGTTTGGAAACAGTATACAATAAGTAAGGTGCATCATTCATAACACATTAATCCTAATAATTTAAGTAATACAATATGAATGTGGCTAGAATCTCCCAGCTGAGAACATATAATGCTAGAGTTAGCCTGGGGATATATATTCTTAGCTTTTATTGACATGCCAAAAAAAGTTCATACTTTTTGGCTTCATTCTAAACTCTGTGATTATTCTACTTAGAAGATTTCAATCAGTATAAACTACATTTTGGAAGTATATTAATATTTTAGTCTGATAGTAGTAGTTGTAGTAATTACTTCTAACTTGGCCCACCAATATGTTCCTTGGTGCTTTCCAATGTCCATGTTATGTATAATCTCCCACATAACTGAGAATGGAAGAAGGTGATTATACCATTTTTTTTCCTGAGCTCTTTTAAAAAGTGGAAAAACTAATTATAGTATCTGAATTCAGGGGACTTTTCCTTCAATGACTTGCCAAAAAAACAAGCTGATTTTGAAAATGTACAGATCATAACATGCGGTTGTTTATGGTAATATTGGGATATCATCTTATTAAATCAACCTTGCATGTCCCTAAACACACCACATCCATTTATACATATGAATAAATGAAACATTGTAAGAATAATGCATACTCTGTTTTAGGGTCCTATTGACATCATCTAATGGTTTAAAGAAATGTATTTCAAATTGACCGTATTTATTCACTTTAGTCAGTTTTTAGTAATCTTATTTATCCATATTTGTATTCTTTTCAGGCCGCTTCAAAATTGCCTAAACCTTATTGAAGAAGGTGTTTGCCAACAATTGAAAGGAAATTACTACCTTCTAGCTGAAGTTCTTAACGATGCCAGCTTTATCAACTGGATCTAGTGGAGATGCAGGTAGGGTTGCTGGTTTTCTGTACGTAATTAGTTGTTATTAGTTTAGTAAGTGTTAACTTACTAATTATTAAGCTCTGTGTAACTTTCTGTATATCCAATATCTCAAGATAAACATAAATGTGGGTAAGGATTCACATCTGTACCTACATACATTCAAATGTACATCATGCTCCTATAGAAATGATCTCTGTATTGTTCTAGGTTTTATGTGTAAGAAACCAATTCTTGTAAGCGAAACAAGTTTAGTGTGACTTTTTTCTACCAGTGAGATCAAAGAATTTAACTACAAAATTTTAAGGAAAATTGGCTGGTTATAGCACTATATAAGCCTAAGTCATACTGCAATAGAACTCAAGTAAAAAAAAATTTAAACCCTGTATTTTTAGAAATTGTTAAAAAAAAATCTGAAACAACATTTTTGAATGGTTTCATGAACACATCCATTAAACATGTACGATGTATTTGAATTTTGAACTATTTGGAGCTTAACCCTTTTTCAGAATGATAAAATCAGTGCTCAGAGAGGCTGTTTTTACATTCAAATTGGGGCATTTCAAATTTGAAGTACTTTGAATTCAAAATTTGTTGGATGCTTCTATAGTTTCCTTATTGTTCTGCTTAGGAACAATATAGAGATGGCTTGCTATCACCTTCTTCCTTAATGGGTGCTTATTTTGAAATTAAAGCAACTTAATAGTAGAGTTCAACATTTTTAAAACATTTGTGAATTTTAGAAAATAAAATTATAGCCTTTAGACAAAAGCAGTATGGGCAAATTGACAACAGAATCTTCTGGTTTCTTTCCAGATGTTTCATATTTAGATTGTACAGCATCCTGGAAAATAGGAGTCATTTTAAAACTTTCTGAAATAGATATTATTAATTGAATTTTAGTTAATCTATATGAAAATAACAAATTTACAAGTTAATATGTTTTGATCTGTTAATTCTTTTAAAATCTGCTGGGCTTAGTGGTATGTTCTTTGAGTTCATCACCACAAGTTACAGTAACATTGAAGCATTAGCCTGGCATGGTTCAAAAATCTGATTAGGTAATTAACAAATAAGGGAGATAACCACTTGTCATTGTATTGATTTAAAATCAGACATGATTGTAATACATAAAAGTGATGGAACAAAACGACCATATTTTTTATCGTTTAGGTCTATTTTATAGTTTCCACAGACTTGTTCTAATAATGAAGCTATGAAGGATATGACAAAAATGGTGATATTAAATTTCTCTAGACTAATAGTAAAATTTTCCATTCTGATGTCAAGAATGTTGAACATCTGGACTCTTGAGTAGTTTACCACGTGAGCATTTTCCCCATTTTTTAAATCCACTTATTCTTTTCTTAAGAACTTTCAGTCTTAGGTGGAAAATTGCAGTAGCAGAAACTAGTTTCTAAAATTGGAAAATGTATTTTCTGTTGATCATTTTCCAGTATTTGTAAAAACTATTTTATTAAACATCTCTGCATATGTAAGGGTGTCCATGTATTCAATGAAAATATCATTCAAAAAATTGGTAGCTTAAATGTAATATAGGTAATGTTTACCGTTCTATCTGGTACTATTGTTTCGTTCTTTGAGCCCTCATCCTGCCCCCAGCAAGTTCCTGTAGTTTCCAAAAGCTACATGTCTTGTTGAGGAAAACTTCTTCAGGCTTATAAAAGCAGTATTATAATAAATATTGAGTGCAGATTACATACATTTTCAATAGCAGAAGAACTATGTAAGTTGTTTTGCTGTTATAGTTCTGTCAGTGAACTGGATTTTGTGGCTAAAAACGCTGAATCAGTTCTAAAAAAATTCAAAGATCCTATAATTCACTTCTTAAATAAACAGTCATTCTAGATGCTTATGTTTATTTAATGATTAAATATATATATAAACATATATATGCTTTCTTAAGTGTATAT